GCCCGCCTACGTGAGCCTTCGAGGCTAAGAACCAGGCCTTGGCCCCGCCCCCACGCATAAGCCACGCCCACTGCCCATAAGCCACGCCCCTTGTATTGAAATCAGGATTGGCTCCACCCGCCTCTGTGACCCCGCCCACATCCCTGCCCCTATTAGCCCCGCCCCTTTCCATTAGCCCAACCCAAGACCAGAAGCCCCACCCCCTTTAATTAGCCACGCCCCCAAAAGCAAAGCCCCGCCCCTTTCCATTAGCCAAACACCAAGAGCCCCGCCCCCTTCCATTAGCCACGCCCCCACGCGAAGCCCCGCCTCCTCTGACAGCCCCACCCTTCCCCACCGCCCCGCCCCTCTCTTTGGCTCCGCCTACCCGAAGCCCCGCCCCCTCCCGATAGTCCCGCCTCCACCCAGAGCCCCGCCCCTTTCTTTAGCCCTCCCACTCACGGTCCATGGCCCCGGGGGGGGGCAGCCCCCTGCCGTGCAGTTGATAGACGGGCTGGGTGGGCCGGGGTCCTTCCCTTTCTCGTGGGGGGGCAATCGCAGCCCCCTCCCCAGCTCCGACCCCGGCCCGCCCCTCCTCCCCCCTCGCCTTCATCAGCACGATGGGAGGGGCGGGGCCGGGAGGGGGAGGGGCGGGGCCTGCGGCCGACTTTACCTGCTGAACGAGATGGGCGGGGCCGTCGCTTAGCCACGCCCACACGTAGCCACGCCCCCCTCTCGTAGCTCCGCCCCTCACTCACCCGCTCGGCCGGGGGCTTCGCCAGGATGATGGGGGTCTTCGGCAGCACGGCGCCCGGCTCCTCTATTGGCTCCTGGGGGCGGGGTCAGCGCTGGCCACACCCACTTCTCACGTCAATCAACCCTAAACCCCGCCCACAACCTTCCCACCTCCGCGTGGATACCTCCCAGCACGTGTCAATCACTTCTTAACCCCGCCCCCTCCAAGCCACGTCCAATCACGAACAGCCCTGCCTACGCTGCACGCGTCAATCACTTCTTAACCCCACCCCTTCCAAGCCTCGCCACCGCTCCACACGTGTCAATCACTGCCGTAACTCCGCCCCCCGCAGGCCACGCCCAATCAATCACAGCCCCGCCCCACTCCATGTGTCAATCACTCTTTAACCCCGCCCTCCCTCCAAGC